TTCTCCACAAATCTCAGAATTCAGAAGGCAAAGCCATTCTTACAATTTTATTTGGCGGACATGTTACTGATCCTTCGATTTAATATTATGTGTCATGATTCTTTCGAGTGCGATCTGAATGAAATCTTTCGAACGGATACGTGAAACTTAATTGCGTACCTACGATGTGGTTTTACCCCTAATTTTGAGAACTGTTAAACCAATAGTTTTCTTTCTTGTACCAATAAACAAAAAGCTTGTGCTGTAATCGTAAATAGTGGTAGTAGTAGTTTTCTTGCAGTCACCGATCCTGTTAAAATCGTTCTTTATTACACTCTGTGTCCTTTATTCTCTCTTGCCTCATCAGATTATCTAACAATATGATCATCACATTTTCCATCATCAGCCATATATTAGTAATTACATTTAATCAACAACGTTTCAAACCGGCCATTTAAGATCATTGGGGATGCATTGCGTCGTGTCAGGAAAAATTACTGATGCATTTCAGAAAAATAGTTTTTGTCAGTGAATAATACTGTCATTTAATTTGTTTCAGCGATACTTTTCAGTCTCACGAGTTCGAGTTACCAACTCATCCCAAGAATGGAAATTGATAAACCATTCGTTTATACCATTATCCACAAATTCCAGAATTCAGAAGGCAAAGCCATTCCTACAATTTTATTTAGCGGACGTGTTACTGATCCTTCGATTTAATATCATTTGTCAATAATTCTTTCGAGTACGACCTGGATGAAATCTTTCGAACGGATACGTGAAACTTACTTGCGGACCTTCGATGTAGTTCGATGTAGTTCTACTTTTGAGAACTGTTAAACCAATAGTTCCCTTTCTTGTATCAATAAATAAAAAGCTTGTGCTGTAATCGTAAATAGTGGTAGTAGTAGTTTTCTTGTAGTCACCGATACTGTTAAAATCGTTGTTTATTACACTCTGTAATAACTTTTTCATGTCTTTATTTAAGTTCTGATTTTCATGTCGTAAATTATAGTTTTACGACTTCTCCCTTGCCTCACGACACCAAAATTATCTCTTTATCTTTCAAATATTTTCTGTTCAGTAAAAAAACGTTTATGAAAGAAAGAAAAGTATTGAATATTATTAATTGTAAATTTTGTTCACTTATTCCATAACGTAGTTTACGTTAACGTTTCCTTAATTATTTCTAATTCACCCACGCTATTTAACTCTCACCCGCATGCGTACAGTAGAGTGCAACCGATGCAACGAACTACACACAGTGCCTATGCGTTGCCGCTTTTGCATTGTCATAAACACGGATAAGAAATGACCCGGCTTGGAAAGACGAGAATTCACTTTTAGAGATGCACGCTATAAATCAATACATGAAGTTCCAATGGTGTATTCTAGGTTTAATTCCGAAGACAACCTCGTTGATGGTTTTCAACCCCGTGGATTTCACCGTCAATCGCCCATTCTATTGTAGCATTGTATACCATGCGAACGACAGCGATAAGAACGCGGATGCCGTCGTATCATTGTTCAGTGCTGTTGTATCCGAACCAGAAATCTAAACACGGTAACATGTACTTACCTATTTTTCATAATTTACAATATAATTGGCCATGTATAAGACATGAAATTATTTTTTATTGAGTAATTGTTATTAATGGACTGTACGGACGTTTATACAAGTACACATATCATGCGTGTACGGTAGTTCCGCTAGTGGGAAAAAAATATATGTATTTATGATTTTGTTAAGGTTTTATGATATAAAATTTGTTTCGTTTTATATATTATAGTTCAGCTGTCATGGAAATATACTATTAAATTGACACAACAAACACAATGATTGCATTAATTATTTCTTTGTCTAAACAAGTATTGTCTGTATATGCTGTGTATTATATTTGCATAAATTTCCACATTATATCTTCGTTAAATTTCGATATATGTAACAATATTTTGTTTACATTGTTACAGAAGAGGAAGTCGCCGAGTTGACTTCGATTGAGGTGCTAACCTCGATGGATATTGAAAAACCATTCGTTTATGCTATTATCCACAAATCTCAGAATTCAGAAGGCAAAGCCATTCTTACAATTTTATTTAGCGGACGTGTTACTGATCCTTCGATTTAATATCATTTGTCAATAATTCTTTCGAGTACGACCTGGATGAAATCTTTCGAACGGATACGTGAAACTTAATTGCGGACCTTCGATGTAGTTTTATACCTACTTTTGAGAACGGTTAAACCAATAGTTTTCTTTTTTGTATTAATAAATAAAAAGCTTGTGCTGCGATCGTAAATAGTGGTAGTAGTGGTTTTCTTGTAGTCACCGATACTGCTAAATTCGTTCTTTATTACACCCTGTGTCTTCATTAAACTTTCAATTTTTATGTCATGAATTATAATGATTTCACCCTTACCTCATCAGATTATCTAACAAAGTGATCATCACATTTTCTATCATCGATCATATATTCGTGTTATATTTAATTGACAACGTTACAAACCGCTCATTTTCAGATCGTTGGGGATGTATTGTCGTTACAGGAAAAATCTACTGAAGCATTTCAGAAAAATATTAGGTGGATCGGAAAGTTATGTCGTTTGTTTACATTAAATTCAAACAGATAAATATGCGCAGAAACGATATTACTTTCCGGCCTCCCTAATAATTTCTGTGGGCAAACAATATCTCGTTTAATTTGTTTCAGGAATAATTCTCTTCGGCTCGAGTTTGTATCACCTACCCATTCCAAGAATGGAAATTGATAAACCATTCGCTTATACCATTATCCACAAATCTCAGAATTCAGAAGGCAAAGCCATTCTTACAATTTTATTTGGCGGACATGTTACTGATCCTTCGATTTAATATTATGTGTCATGATTCTTTCGAGTGCGATCTGAATGAAATCTTTCGAACGGATACGTGAAACTTAATTGCGTACCTACGATGTGGTTTTACCCCTAATTTTGAGAACTGTTAAACCAATAGTTTTCTTTCTTGTACCAATAAACAAAAAGCTTGTGCTGTAATCGTAAATAGTGGTAGTAGTAGTTTTCTTGCAGTCACCGATCCTGTTAAAATCGTTCTTTATTACACTCTGTGTCCTTTATTCTCTCTTGCCTCATCAGATTATCTAACAATATGATCATCACATTTTCCATCATCAGCCATATATTAGTAATTACATTTAATCAACAACGTTTCAAACCGGCCATTTAAGATCATTGGGGATGCATTGCGTCGTATCAGGAAAAATTACTGATGCATTTCAGAAAAATAGTTTCTGTCAGTGAATAATACTGTCATTTAATTTGTTTCAGCGATACTTTTCAGTCTCACGAGTTCGAGTTACCAACCCATCCCAAGAATGGAAATTGATAAACCATTCGTTTATACCATTATCCACAAATCCCAGAATTCAGAAGGCAAAGCCATTCCTACAGTTTTATTTAGCGGACGTGTTACTGATCCTTCGATTTAATATCATTTGTCAATAATTCTTTCGAGTACGACCTGGATGAAATCTTTCGAACGTGAAACTTAATTGCGGACCTTCGATGTAGTTCGATGTAGTTCTACTTTTGAGAACTGTTAAACCAATAGTTTCCTTTCTTGTACCAATAAATAAAAAGCTTGTGCTGTAATCGTAAATAATAGTATCCTGCTAAATTCGTTGTTTATTACACTCTGTAATGATCTTTTCGTGTCTTTATTTAACTTCTGATTTTTATGTCATAAATTATAATTTTACTATTTTCCCCTTGCCTCACTACACCAAAATATGTTATCCGTTTGTGTTCCAAATATTTTCTGTTCAATAAAAAAAACGTATTGAGTTTTATTAATTGTAAATTTATTCATTTATTCCAGAACACAGTTCACATTAATGTTTCTTTAATATTATTTATTTTAACACAATTTCTAATCAGTACTATGAAAATATATCTCATGTATTGTATAATTTTATTTTAATAGTATATATTTATCGTATCACCTAACTGGAAATCAAAATTAACCGGCTAACGGCGCCGTTATATGCACAAATGGAAGACCTGTACCTTTTAAGATTGCATGAATAAGCTACATATGAGAATCGCTACTTAATAATAATGTGCATGTCGAATGTATAAACTTTTATAATTCTTACATAAGCAATGCATATAATTAACACGAATATGATCTAACTGCATAATATGTAGTTTTTATAATTTTTTCCACTAAACTTTAAAATGTATAGATTTCGTATGTATAATTGTTATTCGTTAAAGGAAGATAATTCGGTTATTATAAAAAATATATTTTATAATATTTTTCCTCTTATTGTTATATCTTCTCAACAACTACTATGGAACTTAATGCATTGCACAATGATGTATCTAATGTTAA